TATCTTGTAAGTGGTAATCCTATTTTGATTACATTATTCTGTTAGTGGTAATTCTATTTTGATTACATTATCATGTTAGTTGTTATTATATTTTGATTACATTATCATGTAAGTGGTAATTCTATTTATTTTGAATACATTATTATGTTAGTGGTAATTATATGTTGATAACATTATTATGTTAGTGGTAATTCTATTGTGATTGCATTATTATGTTAGTGATAATTCTATTTTGATTGCATTATCATGTTTGTGATAATTCTATTTTGATTGCATTATTATGTTAGTGGTAATTCTAATTTATTTTGATCACATTATTATGTTAGTGGTAATTATATGTTGATTACATTATCATGTTAGTGGTAATTCTATTTTGATTGCATTATCTTGTAAGTGGTAATCCTATTTTGATTACATTATTCTGTTAGTGGTAATTCTATTTTGATTACATTATCATGTTAGTTGTTATTATATTTTGATTACATTATCATGTAAGTGGTAATTCTATTTATTTTGAATACATTATTATGTTAGTGGTAATTATATGTTGATAACATTATTATGTTAGTGGTAATTCTATTGTGATTGCATTATTATGTTAGTGATAATTCTATTTTGATTGCATTATCATGTTTGTGGTAATTATATGTTGATTGCATTATTTTGTTAGTGGTAATTCTAATTTATTTTGATCACATTATTATGTTAGTGGTAATTATATGTTGATTACATCATCATGTTAGTGGTAATTCTATTTTGATTGCATTATCTTGTAAGTGGTAATCCTATTTTGATTACATTATTCTGTTAGTGGTAATTATATGTTGATTACATTATCATGTTAGATGTAATACTATCTTGATTGCGTTATCTTGTAAGTGGTTATTCTATTTTGATTACATTATTATGTTAATGGTTATTCTATTTTGATTACATTATCATGTTAGTGGTAATTCTATTTTGATAACATTATCATTTTAGTGGTTATTCTATTTATGAATACATTATTATGTTAGTGGTTATTCGATTTTGATTACATTATTATGTTGGTGGTAATTCTATTTTGATACCATTATTATGTTAGTGGTAATTCTATTTTGATTACATTATTACGTTAGGGGTAATTCTATTTTGATTACATTTTCATGTTAGTGGTAATTCTATTTTGATTACATTTTCATGTTAGTGGTAATTCTATTTTGATTACATTATCATGTTAGTGGTTATTCTATTTTGATTACATTATTATGTTAGTGGTAATTATATTTTGATTACATTATTATGATAGTGGTAATTCTATTTTGATTGCATTATTATATTAGTGGTAATTCTAATATATTTTCTTGTGCAAACATTTCAACATAAAATAGAAATGACAATACGGATGTTCAATGGGATAACGTAGCCTTTTTTCTTAGACATGTGTTGATGCCTTTATTGCGTGGATATGTTATGTATTGTACATTCCATAAATGTTGATTTTATTAATACTAGTAACAATATTGTCAATAATTATAAAATACCATTTAAATCATAATTATAGTATACGTCCCTAAAACGTTAACGCAGTCTACAATAAAAACAAAAACAAAAAACATCCCTTTGTGGAAACAAATTTATTTTCTTACCAAAAACAGTTCGTGTCATGTTTAGCACTTTAGTATAATGAATGGAAACAGAACGATGTATTTAGGGTATTTTAAAACATAAGTTAAAAACATGATCATGGTTCTACACAGCTTTAGTTTGTTGTTTCAGTTTTCTTATTGTAACTATATAAAATTGATGACATGACAAACTTAGTGAAATAATCATGAACAATCGTCTTCTAACGAGCGCCTCTCGTACATTGATGATGTCATTGATGTTCACAATGAATACGCATGCGAGCAAAATGTAACGCTAAAACAGTACTTAAAATAGGACGGATTTTTGTTTCAAATGACACAAAATAGGTAATCTAACTCCAGCGCATATCAAAACAAACGAGTCTTACAAAACGATGAATATGTATATCCTTAGTCCATAGTTTAGTACATCTATGATAAAAACGTTTCGGACTGACATTCGTTATAAGAATCACCAGTAAATATCTATATTTCGAAAATGTTTGTCCGTTTAATGCGAGGTCACACTTTCCGGAACGAATTTGTTGTTAAACAACACGGTCAATATATTTGATTGGTATGCACTATATTTCCTCACAACCAAACATCATCCATGGCAATCATACTAACAAATGTATTATCCCACGCCAATACGTAGTGCTAACAATAATTATCTAAGTTATAATGAATGAAAGCCCTCCTTCATGAATGAAATGAATTGTCAAGAATGTTGAACCAAGAACTCTTTAACTTTGGCAGCCCCTATAGGTGCTGAGGAACTAAAAACAAGAGACGATTCAATTTAATGGTATCTAATTATCGTGATATATTTCCGAGAAAATATAATCAATCTAATGGTGAGAATTATAACTAAGGAAGCAATGTTGTACATTGTATTAACATTGTTTCTACATATAACAGGTTTTGTTGGACTCTGGAGTGAGCAGAAAACTATGTTACTACTGTATGCAATATTTGAAGAATTCACTGACGGTTCCTTCCTGTCAATGTCAACAGATTTCCTTTTTATGAACGCCTACATCTTATTGAAACAAGTGTTGGATAACATGTGCAATATTTCATGATTTACCATCGTAGTTGAATTGTGGAATATCTACAATTCCGTTGTATATCCTCTAACAAACAAAACCTCTCAGCATATTGTACGTGTAATGAAAATAATTGTACAAGTAATGGAAACCTAATAAAACAACTTATCCCACGTGAATATTTTCCGACCGGAAACAGCTCGGATCCTACCTCATATAGTGTTATAGTAATCTGGGACTAATTACGTCGTTTCGCAAAGCAAACACTCCGACAGAAATTCCCGAATGATTTTCGATTGATGATTGTCGCCAAGCGGAAATAGTAAGAATAGAAAAACACTTACAGAGTAATTGTTCTCCTAAAATTGCTGTTCCATCTGTACGTTTTGATGACAGAATTGTATAAAGGCAGCATTAGCCTGAAGAAACCATCCAGAAACCTACGCAGGGTAAACAAAATTAACATCGTTCTTCGCTGGAATGTTTAAATGAAACTTTTAAAAGTTAAATACTACCAAATGTTCAAAATATGCATTTCAATCCTTAATTATATACAAAAAAAATACATAAAATTATTTCACTTAACATTAATATTCCACTGTTATTTTTATGCTCATGACATTCATGAAAATTGGAAAGACGTCGATTACAAGGCCCGTTGAAGCACAGTTTTTCAGGACTAGACTACAATATATCTGCAAAAATGATTCAAAGGTAGCACTACTGACGTCTATCTGAAAGATTGATTTGCTTAAATAATACAAAGGAAATTATTATGGGGTACTCTCTGTTTAAGGTTCAATACCGTTTTTATGAATATGTTGTTTTTTTTGTAATTGCGCAAAGCTTGTTAGCCTATTTAATCCATCATGATATAGATAGCACGCGAATATCGCAATTCTAAGACTCAATCCAGCATTAATCTTGGTGTGCGATGCTGCACCGACAACTGGATACATGGTCTAACAAAATCTACTTTGTAACTAAATGAAATGGTCACAAATTTTCTAAATTGTTTTTATGGTAACATTATTGCTAAAGATTTCCCGAATGCATTTAAAGTTTCAAGTTAATCCCTTATTCGTTAATATAGTCTGTATGTGTGTAATGTAATTGTTTTGTAATATCATTTCCATCCTAACCCCTTTGGTACCATTGTTTTTCTTCTGAAAAGGCAAATGCTGATTTAGGTGAGACGTGGTTGTTCCTAAATGGGCGCTTATCTATTTCGTTTTTCATTATTACACATATAGATAATATGCTTCAAGCGTAATTTAAACGTATTATTTAAGGTAAAATACCGAACCAATCAACATTGATCCCCCTTCTGGGACTAAGGCAGGTGTTTGTTATTCAAAGAGCATACGTATAGACCGTAATTGTATACTATAATTGTTACCGAGATGTCTACAGATTAAGTACACAGTCGCCGAATTTGACAATAGCCGTGAGCGTATTACAAATCAGGTACATGCAATGTATATATCAAATTCAATGGTATTAAAATTGGTTCTATGGCAGGCCACGCTCAATACAAATTTAAGAAAGGTGCATTTGGTCCCAATTAAAATACCGCTTGATAAGGTACGTTTTCTCGATAACTTACGAAACAGATTTCAAAATTAATTCACGCGTATGCTATGATTAAAGATAACCTCTCTGGAACATGAAAACGTTTGATGGAATGTTGAATAGATAAATGGTCAATTTATTTCCTTACGATTTGGGTTCATATGAGGAAAACTGCACCAGAGCGACTATTTGAACACGTAACTAAGTGCGATGCTATACTGTGATATTGACATTACAAGCTATATCACGTGTCAGGTGGTACTATAGCTATATCTTCCTATTGTATTCTGGTACCAAACTGTGCCAATTGATGCATTGCACCTATACTTAATTGTTAGCTTATTCGAAAAACACATTTTGTCCACAGATAACGTGATAAATTAAGGCTATTGCACAACTAATCCAAAGTGTGATAGCTCCATGTCACGCATTTTATCATGTATCGCTTGATTATACCACTTTGTTACAATCTTGTTGTAACAGTGCTGATTTCTAAAATCAGTTCTAAATAAGTATTTCTAATAAAACTTAATATTGACATTCTTTCTGATTAATACGCATGTACGCTTCATTGTCCTTTCAAAATTTGCAACATGATGCAGTTGAAAAAGGCTTACCCAGTTTAGCGATTATAAGCGTAATTGACCGAATTAGAAAGTAAACTGTAAGAAGAATTCGCTGCGAGGATATATGCCTAATGTTATTTGATGAAATGTTTATGATGTCGCAGCAAATATTTTATATATATAACTCATGATCGCATATTAAAACTATAATGAATATGGAAAAAATTGCTAATCACAGTTTAATAGAAAATAATAGGATTCATATAGATGTTATGATTTGGTTAACACGTTAACATAAAACAGTAAGTGACGTATTAGAGAGACTGTTCAAGATAACATTAACAAAGTATGATATATTTAACGCATCTTTCACTTAAATTAGAACACAATTATCAGCAGATAGTCATTGAAATGTCCTTATTTACAATGACAGATTGAACCTGTCCCGAATTTGTCCTTAGTCACGTGCGTGCTTCATCACGTGCAATTACAGGTGACCCTTTTCACAAATAATCCTCCTTGTATCGCTAGTAACAGAGCGACTAATGTTGTTGGTACACCGTCAATGTTATATTGAAGTCATCTGACCAAGCTCATCTTTTGCAACGTTATAGCGTCTTTGGTAATGATGGGTTGTTGAAAGGGCCGGAAGACGCATGCACATGAACAAGCGATCGCTGCGCATGCGCATGCCACTGTGCGTGTTTTTGTTGAAGCCCTTATTGTGTTACCTCCAACACCCCGCCATGCAGATCAAACTCTAGGGACCTGTAGCTCACTACAATAGAAAACATATAACACACATTTCAAAATACAACGACAGCAATGATATGACCTTAATCACGTTTTCATTTTATGTTATTAAACATATTTAATTGTAACGATTTTTATTCAATGAATTCACTTATATGAAGTCTTGTATAACTGTTATTGATTAGAGCAATGGACTAGAAATAGTTACGGTTGTGCACTTTTATACATTTTCATTCAAGTTGCATGTTCGCGTGTTCCAGCTTGTTGCAAACTCGTGGGAACAAAACTTCGGTGAATCGTCCAAAATAAACCCATACGCTGTATTCAAGATTGTCCTCAGAAGTACAAAAGATTATTCCTATGTATCCTACTTTCTGACATACACGCAATGTATTCAATGTCAATTTCTTCGTTGGAAATATACATATCGTATGTCATTATGTGTTACCTAATCGTATTTCAGTCATGAATAGGAATGTATATGCCATCTGTAAATTGTTTATCGTTCTTCAGACTATGGTGAGGTGTATGCAAATGAGACTTTGACACAATTAGCAAAAGGTTTTGGACATTATATCTCACACAAGAGTCTTATTTACGGTCTCTGTGCTAGTGCTGGTATATATGTATGTGTCAAATTTACAGATTTTCTTGCAAATGTAACAAGTAACGAGACAGGTATTATGTCAATGTACCATTATCAGGTGGTATACCAGACGTCGTTCTGTTTTAATGAGCCCTTTACCACTGCCGAAAACAGTAGTTATGCATAGGGAACTGATTTTTCCGGCATGAATATAGTTATCATAAATCCTCTGTCTGAGAAGAATCATACCTCGTGGAAAAGGACATGGATAACACGAAATAATCAACAATAGTGTTATGTTTGTAGAAACTAAGCGTGGCTTGACCGGGATTCGAACCCCGGACTTCAACTGTTACACTGTCGCTCTAATCAATTGTTATACTGTCGCTCTAATCAACTGTTACACTGTCGCTCTAATAAATTGTTATACTGACGCTCTAATCAATTGTTATACTGTCGCTCTAATCAATTGTTATACTGTCGCTCTAATCAATTGTTATATTGTCGCTCTAATCAATTGTTATACTGACGCTCTAATCAATTGTTACACTGTCGCTCTAATCAATTGTTATACTGTCGCTTTAATCAATTGTTATACTGTGGCTCTAATCAATTGTTATACTGACGCTCTAATCAAATGTTATACTGACGCTCTAATCAATTGTTATACTGACGCTATAATCAATTGTTATACTGACGCTCTAATCAATTGATATACTGCCGCTTTAGTCAATTGTTATACTGACGCTCTAATCAATTGCTACACTGACGCTCTAATCAATTGTTATACTGTCGCTCTAATAAATTGTTATACTGACGCTCTAATCAATTGATATACTGCCGCTTTAGTCAATTGTTATACTGACGCTCTAATCAATTGATATACTGACGCTCTAATCAATTGATATACTGCCGCTTTAGTCAATTGTTATACTGACGCTCTAATCAATTGATATACTGCCGCTTTAATAAATTGTTATACTGACGCTCTAATCAATTGATATACTGACGCTCTAATCAATTGATATACTGCCGCTTTAATAAATTGTTATACTGACGCTCTAATCAATTGATATACTGTCTCCCACTCATCAATTGTTATACTAACGCTCTAATCAATTATTATACTGACGCTCTAATAAATTGTTATACTGACGCTCTAATCAATTAGTATACTGACGCTCTAATCAATTGTTATACTGTCGCTTTAATCAATTGCTATACTGTGGCTCTAATCAATTGTTATACTGACGCTCTAATAAATTATTATACTGACGCTCTAATCAATTGTTATACTGACGCTCGAATCAATTGTTATACTGACGCTATAATCAATTGTTATACTGACGCTCTAATCAATTGATATACTGACGCTCTAATCAATTGATATACTGCCGCTTTAATAAATTGTTATACTGACGCTCTAATCAATTGATATACTGACGCTCTAATCAATTGATATACTGACGCTCTAATCAATTGATATACTGACGCTCTAATCAATTGATATACTGACGCTCTAATCAATTGATATACTGTCGCCCTCATCAATTGTTATACTGACGCTCTAATCAATTGATATACTGCCGCTTTAGTCAATTGTTATACTGACGCTCTAATCAATTGTGATACTGACGCTCTAATCAATTATTATACTGACGCTCTAATAAATTGTTATACTGACGCTCTAATCAATTGATATACTGTCTCCCACTCATCAATTGTTATACTAACGCTCTAATCAATTATTATACTGACGCTCTAATAAATTGTTATACTGACGCTCTAATCAATTAGTATACTGACGCTCTAATCAATTGTTATACTGACGCTCGAATCAATTGTTATACTGACGCTATAATCAATTGTTATACTGACGCTCTAATCAATTGCTACACTGACGCTCTAATCAATTGTTATACTGTCGCTTTAATCAATTGTTATACTGTGGCTCTAATCAATTGTTATACTGACGCTGTAATCAAATGTTATACTGACGCTCTAATCAATTGTTATACTGACGCTCTAATCAGTTGTTATACTGACGCTCTAATCAATTGTTATACTGACGCTCTAATCAATTGATATACTGCCGCTTTAATCAATTGTTATACTGACGCTCTAATCAATTGATATACTGTCGCCCTCATCAATTGTTATACTGACGCTCTAATCAATTGTTATACTGACGCTCTATTCAATTGTTATACTGACGCACTAATCAATTGTTATATTGTCGTTCTAATCAATTGTTATGCTGACGCTCTAATCAATTGTTACACTGACGCTCTAATCAATTGATATACTGACGCTCTAATCAATTATTATCCTGACGCTCTAATCAATTGTTTTACTGACGCTCTAATCAATTATTATCCTGACGCTCTAATCAATTGATATACTGTCTCCCACTCATCAATTGTTATACTGACCCTCTAATCAATTGTTATATTGTCGCTCTAATCAATTGTTATACTGACGCTCTAATCAATTGAGCGAAATGGTCAACGGATGATACCCGGCGCAATAGCGCTATAGTTATATACATGAATATATGTGTTTGTTTGTATACCTAAAACGACACGAAGGGGAGATTACTCTGTATACGAAAAACCACAGTGGAATTGTCTAGTGTTGTGCTTGCAGTGGGACATGAATCCGTAAAAGGTAGTATCAGAATGATTATTTGATTCTGCGTTTTCCTTCAAATAAAAATTGATTGTACATCACCAAGGTATATAGTCGATCACAGAATGATCATTTGATTCTGTGTTTTCCTTCAAATAAAAATTGATTGTTCATCACCAAGGTATATAGTCGATCACAGAATGTTCATTTGATTCTGAAAGCTATGATGATATCTAAGCTTATTGTCCAATTTTGTCGCTACCGTTATTGGTAATTGGAAATGAAATAAGCAATATTTTGATTCATGATGGCAATAGTCAGCAAAACACCTTTATAAATATATATACTGTATTAGATACAAATTCATGTTTCAAACTAAAAATACATTAAATGTATGTTTTTTAGTGTAATTTATTTACGGTTTGATTCTGCATTTTTGGTTGTGTGACAAAAGTACAGATACATATTATGTTTTTTCTATTCTTCAAAATTCAAAATAGCGTAAACATAAAAATATACAATAGCGTGGTCATCATTTACGTATTATTGAAGTTGCCAAACAACAGCACACAAAGTTATGAAATAATAAGAGCAACACTTACGATTGAAAATGAAAGTAAACACCTTGGGTAGGACTTCTTAGGGCTCCGTAAGTTTATAATTTACTGCAACGAAAAACAAAACGGACTATCTGTATACTAGAGAAATTCTGATGCTTAAAAGAACAAAAAGCGAAACAAAATAGAATGTTGCTCAAAACAAAATTAATTTGTATATAATATGTGCATATCAAAACCCTATTCATATAGTTACGTGTGTGTTAAAGCTCTGAATGGTGATGGTGAATACAACAAGTATCGTTAATAAAATATGTGCATATTAACACCCTTGGTATGTTTTTTGCATGAAGTTAATGTTATGAATTGTAATTGGGAATATGATACTATGAATGTGATTCTTTAATAAATTAAAAATCTCAAACGATTGTATTATCAGATTTTAACAACGCCTATATTTTCACTCCCTCTACTGATGCCTCATTAATTTGTCTGCATCGTCCGGGTTAAGTAGTATATATATATTCTTGAAAACGGTTCTTCCAACAACCACTGATAGGTTACTATATTGCCGATTTACTGGATAAACCTGCTAGGTGGTGGTAGACATGTTTGGCTAACCACTCGTGGGTAACACCATGGACGTTATTTCATAGGTCAATCTTTTAATTAGGAGGTTAGGTAACACTGTTTTTCGACGTCATCTCCCATTGTGATGTCATAATTCATGGCAAGTGTTGCCCAGATCGGAGACAGGAACAATGTAATCCGAAGGAAATCATGTGATTTTCTACATATAATGTTTAAATGTTGTGGGGGAAAAGGGTTTCCAACCAACTCGAGACGGTTGATTGTCATTTTTATCGAACTCTTAAGAGTCTTTATTCAAATTGTTAAAGACACTCGGTAAACCTATTTGAAAAGTAATATGAGTTAGATTGACATGATAACCAGCCACCACGCGTTTGGGAACCTCTATTTGTTCTACAGTTTCTCTTAATGAGATATCCTTTTGGTAACATGCTAAATAACTACTTAAATAAGTGTGTGTTTAAGAGTAAATAAACTCTCAAACATGCCTTAGAAACCATTTGTTTGCTACAATCGACCGTTTATGACTTTTGGCAAACAAGCCTTTGCGAGCAACTTTCCCCAACTAACAAAGGTACTGTATAAAGCTACATACAAATACCCTATAGAGACCAACGGTTTTATGACTACCACCTGCTTTACCAAGACAACAAATCTTACAGATACATTTTTGTGTAGGCTGTATACAGTTAACAGCCCTCTTTAGGATCTCTTTGCTACTGCAAATTCAAAAACTGTAACTACATGTATGCAGTGAAAACAGTATTTCTCGGGTATGAGTAAAGCTTTGATTAATGTTTCTGAAATAATAAATCAGACCTTGCGGCACTTATATATGAAAAAAATAAAAAATAGAACATAGATCAAATAATCAACATCAGTGTTTCGAATGTGAAAATGCAGCGGGCTAACAAGGAAGTGTCTTGGCCGAACTGAGCTACAGTTATATCAAAAGGTAAATTAAGGGGTTGTTGTCTTATACACTAAACAAACAAAGGACAGCGGGACAGGGATCCTTAAACTACAGTCACGTCTGTCTTTATAGTTACGTATCTGTAGCTAACTTATTATATATATAACGACAGTTTAACATACTTTAGATGTTTGTATGTAGCTACCACAGGTCTTAAACTACTGTCAGGTTAATACTGTTCTAGAGACCGTCTGTCTGTAGCTAATGCCACTCTATAACTGATTTAAACCTGCTGTAATTGTTACCTGTCCATAATTACCAATTCAATATTCTCATTCACAACCTGTCTATAAATTAAAGTGCTTTCTTTATCAAAAAAGAATATGTATATTTGACCGATAATTTAAAGAGCATAAATACATTTCTCATATAACTTCGCAGTTATGCAGTGAATACACCCATTTCATATTTGTGCATATTAACTCATCTTACATGTATGTGACCTAGAGCGATTTCGATTGGTTGACCACATCATACTTTCCCAGGATAGTAAATTTCTCCGCACTACGTCTCGTAGTAAACATGGCGGGCGCGAAATTTCTAGTTGGTTCTTAGTGACGGATGGCAACACACAGAAAAAGTATTCCAGAATATTGTATCCATCCAACTCAAGGAGTTTACAAAACGTTCTAAACAACGGTACACAGATGGCAAAAACTTGTAAAACAACGGTACACAGATGGCAAAAACTTGTAAAACAACAGTACACAGATGACAATAACTTGGAAAACAACAATGTAAACGTGCGAGCTACGCGGGGTCCGAGAGTAGATCTGAGACTAAATCCAATTTCCATGAAAATGTGCATGCGACATTTACGGTGGACATAACAACATTAACATTTATAAACAATTTCCAACATCACTTCCCAAACCAGTGAAACGTCGTAGGAGTATCGAAGCGGACAGTGACACCTCAAATTTCCGCGTAGTGTGACGCTTTGGACTATCGCGCGCTGTGACGTAGCGTGGACCGTGTGAACTTGTTGCTGTTTTGTTAAAAAGTGTCTCCAAATTTCAGCTGAAGCTCTTCATTTATACAAGGCATTGAAAAAAATGATTAAATATTAATATGTATCCATGTTGTTTGAGTGATTTAAAAAAAAAGATATTTGTGACTTTTGTTACAGCGACGATAGATATGACCTACATTTTGATAGTAGTGCTTTGGTCATGTCATCAAAAGTAAGCTGATAAAATGACGGACGAATACATTGTTTGTTTGAACGAATGAGAGGTCAGTTTTGCAGTTATGTGATAAAAAGGATCTTGCATTAGCTTCCATGTCATATGAGATTTATGAAACTTCGCACGAATTTTTCGTTTTAGCACACCAGAGGCTCGCTAAAATGAAAGATTTTTAGACTCGTTTCATAAATCTCATATGACATGGAGAAACTCATGTAAGATCCTATGTATATTTGAAGTCATATGGTGATATACATCTCACAATGGAAATAAGGTAAATCACCCAGTCCACAATCAGAAATCTCCTGTAAGTCATTATAAGTTGGTTTAACATGAAATTAGAATCGCAGGGGAAAATATACTTATATAAAAATCAAGAATTTCTATTAAATAAGTGTTGTCCAGTAAATATGTTATCTACTCATATTCTCAAGTATTATTAATAACAAATATCCGATCGCAGGATATTAAACTATGGAATGATTATGTTATGTGTTTTTATGTTACTTGGGTTACAAGGGATTGTAGCAAAACGATAATTACTGAACATAAATCACAATAATTACAAAAGTTTTAGTATTATGTTTAGTGATCGACTAGTTCCGGTATTAAGATATCTGCTTTGACATGTGTTAGTCCTCGTTTTGGTTTGTTCACGTCTTTATTTTATCAAAATATTTCAACTGTTATATTTTATGTCACACAGAGAGAGAGAACTAACACTCCTGTGAGTAGCAATACAAATGGGCGTGTATTTGGGTGTTTATATTTGCTTGTTATGTGTCTGTATTACTTAAACTCCTACGGATTATTTATATTACAGTTTCACACTATCGATTACTATTGTCGGTGCCTACTATCCTTTTTTTGATTTTGACGCATATCAACCTGAAGGTGTTTATGAAGTATGTAAGAAAAATATTTATGTTAAGAGACCATCCTCTGAAAATCGAAAAACAGGTTGCGTCATGGAGATGGCCTCTTAACACAGCTTGTGTCTTAGTCTTAATGTAGGTTGGTCACATGAATAGAGTAAAATGTAGGTTGGTCACATGGGTAGAGTTAAATGTAGGTTGGTCACATGAGTAGAGGTAAATGCAGTTTGGTCACATAAGTAGAGTTAAATATAGGTTGGTCACATGAGTAGAGTTAAATGTAGGTTGGTCACATGAGTAGAGTTGAATATAGATTAGTCACATGAGTAGAGTTAAATGTAGGTTGGTCACACGAGTAGAGTTAAATGTAGGTTGGTCACATGAGTAGAATTAAATGTAGGTTGATCACATGAGTAGATTTAAATGTAGGTTGGTCACATGAGTAGAGTTAAATGTAGGTTGGTCACATGAGTACAGTTATGTGTAGGTTGGTCACATGAGTAGAGTTAAATACAGGTTGGTCACATGAGTAGACTTAAATACAGGTTGGTCACATGAGTAGAGTTAAATGTAGGTTGGTCACAAGAGTAGAGTTAAATGCAGGTTGGTCACACCAGTAGAACTAAATGTAGGTTGGTCACACGAAAAGAGTTAAATGTAGGTTGGTCACATGAGTAAAGTTAAATGTAGGTTGGTCACATGAGTAGAGTTAAATGTGTAGATTAGTCACATGAGTAGAGTTAAATGTAGGTTGGTCACATGGGTAGAGTTACATGTAGGTTGGTCACAAAAGTAGAGTTAAATAAATGTTGATCACATGAGTAGAGTTAAATGTAGGTTGGTCACATGAATAGAGTTAAGTGTAGGTTGGTCACATGAGTAGAGTTAAATGTAGGTTGGTCACATGAGTAGAGTTAAATGTAGGTTGGTCGCATGAGTAGATTAAGTGTAGGTTGGACACATGAGGAGAGTTAAGTGTAAGTAGGTCACATGAGTAGAGTTAAATGTAGGTTGGTCACATGAGTAGAGCTAAACGTAAGTTGGTCACATGAGTAGAGTTAAGTGTAGGTTGGTCACATGAGTAGAGTTGAGTGTATGTTGGTCACATGAGTAGAGTTAAGTGTAGGTTGGTCACATGAATAGAGTTAAGTGTAGGTTGGTCACATGAGTAGAGTTAAATGCAGTTTGGTCACATGAGTAGAGTTAAATGTAGGTTGGTCACACGAGTATAGTTAACTGAACAAAATTATGACGTAGCCCGATATATATCTAAACAACGCTTTTCGTAACTCGGTGTCTTACAACAATGAAAGGTTTAATGAGGGTGGATGTCCAGAGTAATTCAGAAATACTCAGTTGGGACCGTCTTAAATTTCTACATTCAAACGTGTTTTCAGTGGTTCAATACTATCCATGGCACTCCATGTGACCACATATTTAATAGTCCAAAAGTACAAACATCCTACGTGGACACCAACACAAATAGAATGATGTCGGCGACATTGTAGGCAGCCATAAGTTCTTTAATACTCTTTTCCTCGGACATTTTACCAATAAGAAAAGAACATTAGTCACGTTATGCTTTTATTAATTGGGTTAACCTATAGTTCAATGAGATATCCTCACTGTGTGAAACCGGGCTAACATTGCTCCCGTGTGTAAACTTCGGTCTATAGCATGGACTTTTACAATGATACTAAATATGATGTATCAGGAATCATAAATAACGCTTAGAGGTTGGTATATGGTAATCTAAGGAACAGAAGTGATAATCTACTAGCCCTAAACCAGATTGTCTATAGTGTATGTAAATGTTTCGGACTTATTGAGAATCGTTCTCAAGCTCAAGCATGGATTTTGTGCTCAAACCAAATTTCTTGAAATTCACTTAAATCATGTCAAATGATCAAAACGTCAAATTTAAACATTGAAAACAATATTTTGCTTTAAGTCCTTTTTATTTATTGTTCAAATCACTGACAACCTTATATGTTATTGATAATTTATAAACGAAACAAAAAATTAGATATGGGCACAAAATCCATGTTTTTTAGCATGAGAACGCATTCATGGATATGGGCCCTCGAAATTGAACTGGATGTATTTGATTTTTAAAAGAAGTTGAAAGTGTAGAAAAAGTGCCTATTTTTGCAACGGTACTCTCAGTTATTTATTCGTGAGAATTAAATTCACATGAAACAGGAACAGCATGATTTAATATTTCTTGTCCCCAAACTAATGTTTCCTTCGAATAATTTTCTTTCTGCATGAACTCGTAAATAAATATACCAATATATTAACCTTATAATATGCACCTCAAAATGGTTCAAAATGTCTGAATATTCCCGCAACACCTTCACCAATTAGTGTGTTCTTTTCATGAACATTAAAATAAAACGCATGCATAAAATAACATAAGTTGCATTGATATTGATTACGCTATAATAAGATTGGCCAAGACGTTTTAGAAACAAGTGAAGACATATTGGTCGACACCTATCATCTGTTTAACTACTGCATATCGGTATAACATTTCCGTATATAACAATACAGTAACAATCTATACAATATCTCCCCATTTAATACCAGAAAATCTGTATCACTGTATCACTGTAACAAACACTGTAAATTCCTTCGTTCTATTTGTTGTCACCTATGATTGCCAGCATAAATCGAAGTCAACTATTCGATTTTTCTTTAAACATTTCATTTGTACGACCCCTCGATATACCACCTTTTCCCTCTCTAACGTCAAAATGTTCTTGTACAAATGGTGCCAATATAACGAGGTTATTATACTGTATCAAATATTTAATAAAACTAACAGAATTGTTTGGTGGTTTTACACCGAGAAGTAAGCGTTTCTAAATATCAACTGCAGCCGCATACGTGTTCTTCTTTACAGTTCTTATAATCCAAAGAGGAGAAAGAATTCTATGTTTAGAAATTTTGATAATCTGATAAGTGATAAAAGTTGAAACGGCACACAATGAAAGCGATAAAAAAGGGAAAATCGAAGCTCTAACATTAAATCCAAGAAAATTCAATTTGAGCTTGTACGTCAACCGCAATAAAATATATAAAGTAAATTTCAATAAAAACACAACTATGAAATTAAAAATAAATGAAAAATTTAAACTATAACCAAATATAGATTGAACAGATGTCTAGAATGTTCTAGCGACTAACTGTTTTAGTATGCAGGTGTCAGGTATGCGGGAATTGAATTTGCTGGCCTATACACAGGAAAATGTCGGTAAATGTCAAATTGTGTTCAGAGCACGTTTTGTAATTTTAACGGTGGTTCAAGAATGTCTCCTCGTGACAACTACAAGAGAGGTTGGAATTGTCAGCCAGCAACGCGTCTGCCTATTTGAGACTTGGCGCGAAGCTAATAGACTTGGGATTAACAATATCGCGGGGATGGTTTTGTTGCAGTAGAAGAACGAGCCAGCTTAGCGATACAATTTAACACAGATGCCGGAGTCTTGTATCGGGCACATCAATTGTAATTCCTGAAGAACTTGGATTTTACAACAACTTATTATATATGTATTGTAAGACAATTCAATATCTGATCGTTGGCTTTTGGTTATGAAAAAAGGCGCAAGAAATAGCAAGTATTTAAAAATATAAAATGTGAATTTTTAGCTACGGAGACTTGTGATAATTATAACGTTTTTCTATCTTTATTAGATCATTTTAATCAAATTAGATACATGTTAATGGACGAAAAAAAGCAATATTGATATATTAATCATTAAGTTTCAAAAGAGATAGAATAAATCTTCAAATACAAATTGATCAACTCTTACATTCCATTGTATTGTCACTCTCATAACATTTTCGTGATAAATAGAGGATTTAATAAAAATATGTAGAAAAATATGTGTTATGATATTTATTGTTCTTCTACTATTTACAGCCTTATGCCTAATGCATTTTAAAATGACATTTTCGTATTGTTTTAATTACTATACATGGAAACATATGAAAATAAATAATGCTTGAAAACAATTATATCTATAAAACTTACCTCTGCTAAAATTGATTTTGCTTTCTCTCATCATTCTCAGAATTGTCAACCGTTTTATTCGTGCATGACCCACTTTGGTTAGATATATAAAACGTGAAAGGAAACAGTACTAGGACTGACATCACGGAAGTAATATAGATATGACGTCACAATCAGCTCTCAAATAGAGAAGAGATTTGTAAATCAGGATAAAAAAGTTTAAATGTTGAATATTATCGATTTAAAAAAAATATCCGAATGATGGGAGATACTCCGCCTTTCGTTTATTGTGTAACAGAGAAATGTGCAACCCTCGGGATTTGCTATTTCTCTGTCGATCCATCACCTTTCGTAACCATGATTATATTGATAAATATGCTATTTATTATATGATAATAATGAAATAAAATTATATGGGTTTAAAACAATAAGTCTGATACTAAGACAAGAAACACTTACTTAGGTTGCTTACCTTGATAAAACGTGACTTTTCTCGCATGACATTCTTCATCCTTAAAATTAGAAAACAAAAATTGACTTATCTTTGATATTTACAGTTCGTTTGTTTGTAATTGACGTACTATTAACAGCTATGGTCATTTCAGTACGATGCAGTTTTCTGTGGTGGAGTGTAATTGAGTCATTACTTTAAAAGTGCAGAAGCATTTCAGATAGGAAAACATCGTCAGGCCTAATATATGATAGACTTTTTATAGATAGTTTGATTTTTGTCTCTAAGTCAATTGAAGCCAAGTAAACTTGACGCAAAGACTTTCTGGAGATGTTTGTAAACTTGCAGCAAGGCATCATTGTACAAAGTGATATTTCCATTTGATAACGCCTTTTCGAATACCTTTCATCTAATGTATGGATTCGAAGAAAGTGGTGTCTATTTCAATTATACTCCATATTCAATTTACAATGGGCTGTTTTCGTTAAACAAGTTTGGGAATAGCAAAACTATTAAACTATTTCGTCATATCCCTTCTTTAAATCTGACAGTGCAAGTTAAAAAGATTTCAATTAAATTAAATTGTGTTTTTTTCAAACCTTTTTTTGGTTTTCAGATCTTCCCCATCTCTTTCGACTATCGTTTCCAAGGAAGTGCCGACATTTTAGTTTGTCCTTGCTTGGTAACGAGTATTTCCACTTTTCTTAGATAAATAATTGATTTGATGTGTTCCATTTCATTTCGTTTTCAATGATCTGATACAAAATTCTGGTAAAAGATCGTGAAAGTGTTCTATATACATGTACATATAGTAAAGTACAAATATGTAGTGTCATCTTGCGCACATGTTGAACAAATGATAACCGGTTTGACAGGTAATGCGCTTTTTTATACCAAGCGAGACCTAAACTCGTTACCAAGCAAGTACATTCTAAAATGTCGGCACTTCCTTAGATACGACAGCCGGAAAAGATTGTCACTGGGGATGATCTCAAAACGAGATTTTTTTTTTTTTTTTTTTTTCATAAATCTCCATTGAAAGCTTTTTAACTTGCACTGTCACCTTTAATTTGCTTATTTTAGAAATTTAGACAACAGGAATTATCCGTTACTCTTGAATATTTTCGATGGATTATCATTATTATAGTGAACACTGTTAAAATAAATAAAATTGGAACCAACAGATGCTGTGCATTCAGATGTTTCTTTGTATTAGATTTTTTTTTTGGTTACCCGTGAAAAACACCATTCCTTGGCACATGAATTTAAGGATACCGAGTACCAACTCCAACGGAGAAAATATTCAAGTTTGTTTAATTACATGTTTGATTTAACTTTAAATTGCAGTTAGAAATAAAAAAAAGTCCTACTTTTAATTGGTTTCATTCAGGAGGCGACGAAAATACAGAACAAACGAATTAAAGACGAATAATGATACATGTACTACAATTAAAACAAGCGTTTGGGCAGAAAATGAAACCATAATCTTGCATAAAGGCAGGATTAGAAATATTATGTCATATAATAAGCTCGCACTAATTGCCTGTACTGTTCATGAGAAAAAGGATATTATGTCAATACATTGCAGAAGGGTAACATCATTGGAGTAGAAAACAAGATGAATAAATATTTAAAAAGCCAATATACTTCACATAACCATCGATGTATCCATTTATTTTTATAGATAAAACAATAAAGAATAAAAGCGCTAAGAAAAATCGAAATGTCAACAAATCCGAAATTCGAACTAAAGATTGATAAAATTAGGGCAAGATATTACCAAAGGAAAATATACATGAAGATCATTGAAAAAGTACAAGGGAGATTTGACCAGGCGTTCGGTAAAGGTAAGATTTTTTTTTTGTTTCTTTCAACGACTTTCACCATGAAGATCAACACTTATCAGCGTATCATTTACAAAAAAACGTTTTCCTCTTGCGTTTTATTCACTGTATAATTATGGTTCATTTGTCATCTTCCTTAGGAAGATTACTGATCTTTTTCGAACTACCACATCCTAACCTACGTCCTTAGATCATCGGACAACGGAAATAATATGATGTATAAGGCAAGCAAGATACCAACCTGTGAGTTAGATTGTATATTCGTTCTCACTAGCCTTCTATTGAGAGGTAAAGGTGGTCTAAAATTATTTTCCATTAGTCCGTCTCCTTTACCGCCAGTAAATGTCAATTCACGCAGTAAATTAAGCTGAAAAATACAACAACATGATTATGACATATTATTTAAAAGGAAACCTAATATTTCATTATAAATATTGCTCCTTTATGCTATACAGATGCACACATACACATAGCATATCACGAGAAAGGGAAATGGCATCACCAAGAAGACAAAACAGGATCCGAAAGCCACTAACTTTAACACCGAACCCATTCATCACTAACTTTTGTTTTGCTTAAAGACCCCTGTCCCACTGCACTAGTGTATGCTTTCGTATATACAGCAACCCCCTTTAACGTCCGTTTAGATATAACTGTAGCGCAGTTGTGACAGAACACTTCCATTCTGAGTTTTACCAAGTAGCTCAACTGGTAAGTTCGAATCCCGGTCTAGCTCTGCTGACTGTTGAGCTGATTTTTAAAAACGTTTTGTTTCTTTATAAATTATTCAGGATTCTGTTTAAGTATGCTAATATGTTTTTGCGTGTGGTATTTGTCGTACTCTTTAATAAATCAACAAAAATCAGAAATCCCAGAAAGAAAATAAAATGATCTGATTTGCGTTGGTTCTTCTCAAACATTAACGCAAATTCTTACAGAAAACATCCATGGATATCAACCATGCGGGCCCTTGCGTTATACATTCTTCGTTTATATATATTTATAATACACCGTAAAGCGGTTTACGATTCCCGTTTAACAGGTTGTAGAAGCAAATCCCTCTGTATAGCATACAAACTACCATACAGAAAGGTTACTGTGCAACTGCACTTAGATATGTGTCGAGCAGTTCGGCCAATCTGTCTAGGTCAATAGCGTCCTACACAACGTTACAAATCATTGTGTTTTATTTGAGACGTTGGTGAGGAAATGGTGTATATAGATAGCTTTTTATTACATTTATTGTTAGGCGCCATTGCACTTTATCAAAGATATAAAAGTTAAGTCAACTTTATCTTGGTATCTTCATCTTGATACTTTGTTAATTTTAATATATTTTCAAATTAAAATTCAGTACACAAGTATTGCATTGAACCAAATTTGTTATGTTTTTTTAGGCTAATTCAAATGAGTTAGACATTCTTAAAAATATATCATTTAGTTTTTTTTCTATTTGAAAAGCGTCAAGCTAATAAGGTATTACAACTTGTAAGATACAACTTTGTGGTCAAAAAAGGTTATCGGGTACATAATTAAGGCGTTAGATAGAAAAGGAATAGACGATGAATAATGGAATATTGTATATTTAAATAGATGTTCGAAATCAAATTAATGATTGTTTGTTTCACGATGGATGACGTGTTAATCCCGTGAGAGTTCCTACTACACGGTTTCTGAAGTGTCAACGCCTTAGCAATGTTTATTTTGCAATTACCTGCATCATTTCTTTTACATCGTTAGAGATAACAGTGAGTGCGGTTTCTTCTCCACGGGGAAGTATAATTACAGTTATCGGTAACACAAATGGTTAGGAATCGAAACATTACAACAGTCGCAGGCTTAGAAAGCTCTTTGCACGGTTAGCAGATGCTTACTTGAAATTCTAGCACAATGACTACATCAGTACAAAAGCTGTTTAACTTATTGTTATTGCTGGATTCTTATTGACCAACCAACACAGAAGAGGTCATTAGGACCAAAAACAAGTCCCTGTATCGCTCATCTGGAAATGTAAGCAAAATTGAAGTTAGGATAGCAGGATATTACTGGAAGTGTACATGTATGACATGGTTAGTCAGGGGCTATATGTATATGGAATTGGACAAAATCCTGTCATTCCTAAAGTAAAAGCAAGATTTCGAAGAAATTTGCTATGTTTCCCCTACTGGGCCCCGCCTCTCTGCCCCAGGGGGGTCAGACCCATCGTTGATACACAATTAGGTCACCTTCACCCAAGGATGCTTTATACTAAATATTGACATAATCCTGTCATTCCAACAGAAGAAGAAGGATTATAAAGCATTTTATTTTTTTATTTTCCCTATTTGGCCCTGCCTCTCTGCCACAAGGGGGGTCAGATTTATACAAAATTTATACAAAGTTGGTTCCCCTTCAACCAATTCCTACAGAAGAAGAAAGATTTTAAAGAATTTGCTATGATTCCCCTAATGGGCCACGCCCTTCAGGCCCCAGGGGGTTCAAACCCTCCATTTATACAAAACTGATTTCCGTTCCAAATAGGATGCTACTGTTCAAATTTGGTCAAAATACCTTCATTCAAACGGAATAATAGTAATAATAAAGCTATCACTTATTGGTCCCCGCCTCTCTGTCCCCCAGGGGGTCAGACCCATTGTTCATATATATTTGGTTCCCCTTCACCCAAGGGTGCTTCATACCAAATTTTGACAACATTTTATCATTCCTACAGAGGAAAAAAGGACTTTGAAGAATTTGCTATGTTCTCCCCATTCGACCCCGTCCCTCTGTCGCCAGGGAGGCCACACCCACCATTTATACCAAATATAATTCCCTTGGCCCGAGAATGCTCCAGACTAAACTCGAATAAAATGCCTTCATCCCCACGGTAGAAAAAGGATTTTAAATGTTTTACCTCTATTTCCCCTTTTGGGCCCCGCCCCTCTGCCCCAACTCACTGTTTATATAAAATTGAGTTCCCTTGGCCCAAGTATATTCAGGACTAAATTAGGATAAAATATCTTTATCCCTATGGTAGAAGAAAGATTTTAAAGGTGTTACCTTTATTTCCTCTATTGGGCCCCGCCCCTCTGTCCCAAGTGGGGCCACACCCACCAGTTATACAAAATTGAGCACCCTTGGCCCAAAGATACTCCAGACTAAATTAGGATAAAATCTCTTAATCCCTACGGTAGAAAAGGAATTTACCTCTATTTCTCATATTCGGCCTCTTCCCTCTGCCTCCAGGATCACCATTTATACAAAATTTAGTACTCTTGGCCCAATGATGCTCCAGTATTAATTAGAATACAATGCCTTAATCCCTACGGGAGAAGAAGGATTTTAAAGGTTTTATCATTATTTCCTCTACCCTATTCGGCCCGCCCCACTGCCCCGTGGGGTCACATCCACTTTTATACAAAATTCGAGTCATCTTGGCCCAAGGATGCTCCAGACTAAATTAGGATAAAATCCCTTAATCCCTACGGTAGAGAGGATTTTAAATGTTTAACCTTTATTTCCCCTATTCGGCCCCACCCCTCTGCCTCCAGGAAGGCCATACCCACCATTTACACAAAACTGAGTTCCCCTGGCCCAAGGATGCTCCAGACCAAATTTAGTCAAAATCTATTTGGCCGTTCAGGACTAGTAGCATTTTAAAGGAAAGGTTGACGGACGGACGGACGGACGGACGGACGACGGACGCTGCGATAAGTAAATAAAACGCTTGAAAGGAAATGACATCAAACGATAAAATAAAAGACAAACGTCAACTTCAAAAGTAAAAGTGGCTATGATTGCATGTATGTAACTACGGTTACATATAGCTATATCTTCTTGATCGTGCCAACAGTGTTTAGGTTAGAACTGTAGAGATATTATTTGCGCTTTCTTAAAGTGATGTTAGGTATGTTATATAACTCTAAAAAATCTGTTTTTGGCTGAAGGTCTATTTATTTATTTATTTATTTATTTATTTATTGTGTTTGTTTTCTATGGACTTTCAATGCTGTCGTCAATCTTAGCCCTCTTGAACTTAATGTAAATAGTACTTACATTTTCGTGAAATTTGACCTTCATCTAGAAAATGTGATAAACGTTTTCGAGTATAGGTAATTTCAGTGACACAATAAATATTCAATATTATCTGACAGATATTACTTAATTATCTTGCTCTTGATAAAGTGGTCCAGGACAAAATAAATAGTTCTGGTAAAATATCTCCTTAAATCAAAACCATTGAGTTTTATATGATTAATACGCAAAGGCAGTCAGCAGTAATGGAATGGAATTTTTTTAAAACAACAAAATGAAAACGTATGCTGAATTCCTATTTAGTAGTCGCAAAACTAAGTTCAGGAAATAAGATGAAACACAGTTGGCTAATGGCTTTTCTTTCATGTTGTACAACAGAAAAAAAAATGTACGCTTCCATTATAATCGAAGCATGGCTATTTTGACTCAATAAGTCCTTTATAGGATTAACTATACACTTTAAGTTATATTAAGGAGTGCCAGCTTCCACCATTTATAATTAATCTGCTAACAAGGGGACCGGATCCTTTTTCACAGGGTAAAAAAAAAAAAAAAATAGAAATCGTAATCGATATTGTTTTTTATTTATTGATAAAAATGTATTTGAAAATTGACAAATATTTACTTCCTACGCTCAGTCATTAATCTGATGTTGCACAACTCTGCAATATAAGTGGTGTTGAAGTTGACCTATTTTAGGATTTAATATTATAACGATCTATTGTAACTGGGGGGAAAAAAAGACCTTGATTTTTATCATGTATCGTCATTCATAATCATATTCCTTTTTTATCTTCTATTTGTATAGCCGTCAATGTAGAAATACTATTAGACATGTGATGTAAGGCGCCTTATAGTATTTTGCAGATTATTCAGGGGGCTATATTTATGTTTTATATCGTTATATTATCATTTTTAAATATATTTTCTGTAACTTAATATTAGTTTCACTAACAAACTATGAGTCCTTTAGTAGCATTTATCATTTTAGAGATATACGATAACAACATATAAGCTATTAAATTATTCTTTATTTACATGCGAGTTATATGTAGTACGGTACGGATGTAATCGAGTTGTCTTACTACGGTAAATACAGACATGAACGTTAAACAATCCATTCGCTTCCTATCAAATGATACGGTACTTATATACATACACGTATATATGTGTTTTAGTATAATCTGGCTAGGCTTGAGCATCCTGCGTTATTATTAATCATCTGGCGCTGTATATTTAACTTAGAAAACATTAGGTATTTTCCCACCTGTGCGTAATTTGAAATTACTTTTCACACGCTACAGTTTATATTTTTAACTTCTGTGATGCAACTATTTGTATATTTGGGTAGTTGTAAACATTTTACATCTCTAATTCAAATGCTAATGTGTTTTCGTATATATTTCATCAAATCAATTGTCATGCGATTGCGGTAATTTTATAACACGTGTGTATAGCTCATTAACGAAATAGCTTGTTCCCAATTAAAATGATGAAAACGAAAGCTCTAATACACTTCCTGTACTAAAATTAATTCCGAAATGAGTCATGGTGAATATTAAGAATGAGGTCTGAGGCTTATTTAAAGAACCAATATAATGTTTCGTAATTGAAGTCTGACAATCAACGTAATAATGATTAACATTGGAGAAATGGTTAAGTTATAGCGTAACAGAGCCACTTATGTACAGGAAATTGCATCAACGGGATAATCTCATAGTTTAAAGGTCAAAGTTTGTTTTGCAATAAGATCCATTTTGGACCCTAAAATTCTACTGTCAAGGTCATGGAAGAATTAGCGATACATATATATATACTAATTAACATACTAAATGATTTATTTTGCAGTTACATAAAGGTGTTGACGATATAAAATAATTTTATGACATGTCTATGGAAATCATAAAAAAAACTCAATGTCATCCAAGAAATAATCGGTTATGCCATTGCTTTGTTGGTGTGAACAGCGTGTGTCTGGAAGACTGCTGACGTCATACGAGAGAGGACAGAACCTTGGCAGATGCACATAATTAACGTTTCTTCCCTTTAGACCAATTTTGTGATGATTAGGACGCACTATCTATGGTATGAGGTTGTTGCTGAGGTTTATTGTGGTAGACACACTATTCTGGTTGCATTCTACAAGTCGCGAGCAAAAGTCGCTTTTGCATTTACTTGTCGTAGGTCTCTTCCAAAGATCTTTAAATTACATAAGAGTTCTTACACACAAAGGTTTATTGCAGGATAGTTTACTTGTTGCACAAAACCAATATCTATGGTTCTGACTGTCATTCTAGACGTTATTTGGGATGGATCTGTTAAGGTATTGATGTACTTTTTCTTGTAGTTACATCAATCGAATAAATGTATTGACAAATTTCAAAGAATTTCGGGGAGACTGTTAAATACCATTATTAACGCTAAGCTTAAAACACATCTTGAACATTTGGCATATTAGTTCCTTATCTTTGTATCTCGCAAATGCATATTTAAGATGACCTACACTAACTTTAGTTATGATATCTTTCAGTTTGGTTTGATACATTTTTTTTGTAGCTCTCTTTCTTTGTCAATTTGCATGAATTCAGATAATGTTTTCTTTAAAAAATACATTTTTTGTTTTTTGTTTGTTTTATTTTTCTTCACTTTTTGTGGAGGTTTCAAAAGTGAAAAAAAATATATTTCAAAGAGGTATTAAGACACAATGCAGTAATGTTATAATTTTGCAAAATCAATTTCTCACAAATCGGTCTAAGGCAGCACAATCGCTGAAGTTTTGATAGTTTCGATTGAAGGCCAACAGTTCTGTATTTTTTTTCGTAAATTCTTTCTAAAGTAGGAAAACCATGGTGACTTGTTATAGCAGTACAGTGGTAGTGTGTATATGATCGATAATGTGTAGGTGTTCTCCTTGGTATGGATTTATATTTCTGACAGCTTATTTAACGTTCCATATCGCTTCTTGAGTACTACAGTAGAAAACATGTAATACACTCCCATTCAATACTAAATTTCTTCTTTTTTACTGAAACTGATCAGATCTTTAGTAATTGTATTTTGTCTCATTGATAAAATGTATAAAGCCACTCTCCAGACATTTAAAACAAATGAGAAAAGAGAAACCACGAACGTGTTTGTTTCCTAAAAATGTTGTCAAAATAACGCAAAACAGTAATAATATTAATTTGCCGCATGCGACGTGAAGAAGACTTTATGTTTACATATCGACTTTAATAGATATAAACTTCCCGTGAATAATAAAACCAAAATCACCCTCCTTGACTCCAGGCTATACTACTACTAATACTAGTCTTTATTTCAACTTGATGACATATTGGTCAAAGATTCGTCTTACATTGGTCAAGAATGGTCATATGTACACTATTTACAACTAAGTTATCGCTTAACAATTGTTTTAACCCCTAACTTTATCAACCCCTTCAAAACACCTCGTTGCTTGACAAATATCCAAATCAATCTCAGTTCGAGGCAAGAAAACCAAGGGGTCCAAAAACAGTCTTATGGATCACCATCATGTACATGTTGAAATATATACATAATCGATGACGTTATTAACAGTGAGCAGTTTGAGTGCTTTGAGGTTTATTTGTGGTTATGCTCATCAGTCCCCTCCCCCCCCCCCCTCCTCCCGATTATAAATGAGTGTATTGCGTGTCTCAGTAGAGCAGCCTACCAACCAAAGGAAACGGGAAGATTAAAACCCTCGTCTGTAAACTGATATGATTACCAATATAGTAAAATATTTATGAAATAATACGGAAATAACACAAGATAATTCACATACAGGTAATAACAGCCATTATGATAACGTGTGTGTGCACTTAATTCAACCACCCAGGGGTGTTTCGTAATGGATGCGGGATATTTATGGTATATACATTTCATTACTTGCCCAACTCGAATGACAAATGACATATCGTGCGGTCAATAAAATATATCGTGGTCAATAAAATATATAATTGTTAATAAAAAGCAAATGTCCACATATCATAAACAAACCCCAAAGGATAACACGTGACAAATTGCGGTAATATTTTTCGGGATTTCCGTTCATAACCTCATAAAAATAGCTTATCAAAAACCAATAAATACAAATGATACCGTAATTATGGCAACTAGAAAAGATGCTGATATGTGCTTAGTGCCAGGTGTATTCTGTTAGTGTCTACTTTCTGTTTCGACTTTATGTCGACGCTTTGTTATATTTTTCTGTCAACAACTCTGAGGTACATCTTTGATAGTAACGTGGACGTTTTCTAGAACGTTAGTTAACGACTGACTTCTTTTATACAATAACTATTTGTGTAAGCTATCATACAATCCGTTCGTCTTCTATAACATTCAATTCGCAGACTTGAGAACACGGTGCTGTATTTGATAAATATATGAAAAATGTCTCTCAGGTTCATTAATTACTTCAGGTTGTATTCGACCCACAGTTAGTTTCTATCTCATATTATCAATGAAAAACAAACAAAACTTACAACCTTAAACGAAATACTACTTTATATCTATTACTTACATCTAATACGAACTTAATCGATTTTAATTTAATTTCACTGAATAAAAAGCTATCAATATTTGCATAGTCAAACCACCCTCAGGAAAAAAGTGGCCTCTGAACGCAGGTGGCCTTTTAATACAGATACAATTCCCATAAAATCAACAACAATGGGAAACATTTCAAATGATCTGTAAACAATATTGGTTATTAGATAGAAGTGGATTCATGAGCAGGTTTGACTGTTTCACCTGTAAATAGAAATGGAAGTTTGTGAACGTATATAAAAGTGTGTAATTATTGGAATACGCTTGAAACCTCCTTGTCTATGTGTACACATGGGCTTCAATTTACTTACACAAACACATTTACAAATTAGGCAATCACTACATCACGCTAAACGTTCATTCCATTAACATATTCGAGAGCAGATATTCTTTATCGAAAATCACGTTATATATAGAAGCAATTTCACGCGCGACAATTCAATAACAGATCAAATTGTGTCCAATTCTAGTGATCAATTTGTAATTAATGGCATTGGAAAAATGATATACCCTCAAAGAAAGGAAACACTTTTAACATTGCACAACAAATCAGCTGACTACTCCTCCACGGTACAGAGAAAAATGTATGCTGATGTAGTTAATTCCATTTGTCTAATTTGGCGCCAAAACACTAGGTCAACATTAGGTTTCGACGTTGTGTTTGAAGTCGACTTGACAAAAATACTGAGTTGACTTGTAATCAAGGAAATTAAATGGCCAGCTCTCTATTTGTTTGTAGTTGGAAATGACGATTACCATATGACCTTAGAGCTGCCTTACATAATCAGAGATACTGTGAAAGTGGGAATATTCGCGATATGGAAATATCCACACGCGAGTAATAATTTATAGATTATATAAATTATAGATATAGTTTGCTAACCGATGGCCAAAGAGAAAATGTCCACCTCACGTGTTGTTTAAGGACAAAAAAGATGTTTGGTGGTCGGAAATCTCATAATGTTTTAGGAAATGCCTTTTTCTCGTGTATTTCAAAGAGTCAACACTTTATTTCTTTTAACTTGTTTCCAAATGTCCTGATTGAGTTATCCATAATAAATATTCTCTCTTTAATTTTTGTTGTGATTCATTTTATTCAAGCGGACAAAACTAAGAAAGATAACGATTTTAAAGCTTTATGCTGATTTGAAGTCCCGAATTAATTTTGCATTGTAGTTAGATTATATGTTAAGTAAATTATGCTATTTGTCATACGGAAATTATGTACTGTTTTGATTTACATTTTTTAATGAAATGAGACATTTTGTGGAGTAAAATATAATTATGGCATTAAAATATGGTTGGGCAATTACAGAAAAAAAGTCAGGATTAATCATGGCAATATCTGAAGTCCTGCTTTTCAAATGTAAATGAAACACGTAAAAATAACTTACCTGGTCTTTTGATACGTGTATAGGTTTATTTAATATTATCCACGTGACTGTCTCGTGACAACCGGGTTGTGTGAGTGACCCTTCATACGTAATGAAATAATCTGATGTCGGCAACATTTGTGATACAGAAAATCCCTGTATGTCCTTTTGCATTCCTACAACAGAATAAGAACATATAGGTCCCTGGGTACCGAACACTGAATTAACCCCCCCCCCCCCCCCCCTCTGTCTGTCTATGTCAGATCTTCGCTAAGATCAACTGAACCTTGTGTCTCAAATAAAATGAAGTAATCCCTTTTATTGCAATTGTGATAGAACAAAACTAGTATTTTACGCTTTCTTGTTACAAATATGAAATATGATCAAATATAAATGTATATGACTTAAACAGTGATTTTCAGATAAACCTGCAGTTAAAACTCTGTATGTCATATTAACCTAAACGGAAAAGAAAAAAAAGGTTTCTCGGGAAATATTCGCCCAGTCAAACGTTCACCCTTCGCCAGAATAATCGATATTTGCCCAGTGTTAATTTCTCCCGTCACATTTCATTACTATGTATATTTTGTTGTTTACTAATGTTCGCTGTAATGATAAATTCGCCCTCATTACGCCAAGGGAAAAAAGGCGAAAATAAAACTACAGCGTAAATTACCCGGTATGCAGTATTTTACAAGGTACATGAATACTTTTTATGAACGATGAAAGCTATATCGGGACTCTATCTGAATCGATGACAGATATCTCATTGGTTGTCGCTGGCAAATGAAATAGCAAAATTAAAAAACGGATATGCAATAATTTGGTTCCGTGTCCACAAATTTGTAACCCCATTTATTCATGATGTATACCTAATGTTTCTACTAAATAAAGCAATCATGCCGTTTCCGGTATACATTTAAATTGTATCCAAATATAATAAAGAACAAGATACTTAATTAACAGCTGTGTTTGATCAGCTGTACAAGCAATATAATAACCATTACTTAACACACGTATATTGCCCTTATTTAATCGATACGAGCTAACGTGGAACGTTGTTTACAACGAAACACCATACCGGAAGTGACGTCATACACAAAGGCGCCGTAAGGATACATACCTCTATGTTCAATACTTTTCGACATGTCAACGAGCTTTCCAAAATGTTCGTTTCCTGACTCTGTGACCTGAAACATTAAGAGACACTTTAATCTAACACGTTTCATTCAAAATATCAACCATTAAAACAATGATAATGCAATAACGGTACAGCCAATTTAATATCAATGCTATTCTTCTTCAATTATGTAATCATAGAACTTCATGTTTTAAAAGGTTAACGCACCGGGCGTTAACGAAAATGATAATTGTAGTGCTTCTTAATTAAGATCGTTACGTAGATAAATGTATTTTCTAAGATATTTGCAAAGACCTCCTGCAGACAACCGCCCGCAATCAAAATCGATAACCACATTACAAAACAGATCTGCAACGACACAGCGATACGAATGATGCCCAATTTGTGAAAACTTGTCAGCTTGAAAACACTTGATTACAAATGATTACTAAGGAATCACGATTGATATCAAGATCAAAATAAACCCCATCAACCCAATCATACAGAAATGAATATTCAGTGAAAACTTTAAGTGGTCATTTCATAAGGATATTAAATTTAAAAAGATGCAGTTAAGCTAACAAAAAATGTATAGAATAATCGTGTTTAATTTTGTTCAGTGCAATATGCCAAATATGTCTGAATTCGGCCAATACATTAAAGAGAAATTGACATCTGCGTTGTTTTGTCGATGTGATACGGGTAGTTAGAGCAAATAGGTCAAAGGACTGTCGTCTGTTCACAGACCAATCGATATGGGACCTTTTATACAAAGCATAGTCAGCTTAATGCTTTTTAAAAGCAAAACTTCAAACAGATTAATTCGTCTTTACAAATACGTTTTGTTCCCAAGCTCACTCATACTTTATGTTTTCTAAGATGCAAATCAAAGCAATTAACAAAAACAGTATTACTGATTTACTGGTCTCGACATGAGCTAACAAGTGACACATGGCATGCATGTTTGAACAAACTAAATAACAACCTTGTCGACGTGACACAAAACACCTTAGTTTGTACGCAACATCATTATATCTTCAGGGGAGTGATATTCTCTTTTGTTTTGAAAAAAAATCTTTCTTTCTCTCTTTGTTGTTAGTTTCCCGTTATTCGTTAGTGTTTTTTCCTTTCTGATAAATTTGTAGAACATTTTAATATACATTATTTTTCAAATCATTGAATATAAAACAATCATGTATATCACATTTAAACGTAAACATCGCATAATCCAGCTTAAAATACTGTTATTTACAAAATAACCCCAGAAGTTGATACTCCATACTGTCGAGCATGTCGTCAGGCTCTGCATAATAAATAAAGTTCAGTTTTGAATGAAAAGTACCCCAAAAATACTAAACATTACCTGAATCGGCCGTAAGACTACAACGAGAATATCTCGCCTTAAAACGACAGGCTTTCGACTTTGAGACGCCAAGTATGGTCGCCATTATGGTCGCCATTTCTAAATTATTGACAAACTTCGTTATATAAGAGAGCAATTGGTGACTATTTTTGTAAACACATGCGAGGATCTGTATCCCTATATAGATGATACTCCCCGAGGGCGGGCTCTAAACAATAGCATTCATTGTGTAATACAACAATAACTTACCATAGCCATTACTGATATAGCAGCCAGTCCATGAGGAGAAAGAAGTGCTTGTGATGCATTTGTGTACAGTTCTCCATTGTAACCAACTATTTGTATCTGAAAATATACAATGGCTAACATAACATTTTGAAATTCAGTGAAACAACCCTAGATTTATAAAGCTGGTCACACGGTTGCATGTAGTGTGTATACCCTTAAGCAAAATTCATAAATGTACATAGATTTAGATTTACATAGATTTAGATTTACATAGATATTCATAGATTTACATAGATATAGCCTTTGATTTATAGGTTGAGCATCCGGTTATACCCATAAACAGCATTTAGAGAAATGTAAAGATATAGCCTCCCATTCAACAGTTGGGCACCCATTTTTACCACACATAACATTTAAATACGCAGAGATCAGCTTTTTCTCGTAAAATATTGTCACAACAGGCATGGCGGTATACAGTTAGAAATCAAAGTTGTGTTAAATTCAATATTTTACCTAGATATCAATTGTATTTGACCGACACTATGCTAAGGGGAAACAAAGATGACAATTTCATCAAAATATTAAAACCTACTCTCAACAGTCAAAATCTTTTATTTTGCTCTAGTTTGTCCAATCATATAATTGAAACATTGAAGCGTCATGCTACTATTGTAGTGTGCCAAAATATAATTGTTACGTTATGACAATGTTCTTTATGAATAAACAAGAAAAAACGTGAGAAGAGTGAAAGCTGCTAGTTTTAAGCCGTTTGTTTGATCTTTTCTTTGAACCTTACCTTCTTCTGATAGATATGTTTCATTTTTAATTATAAATATGAATATAAAAAATAAGATAGTGAATTAAGATAACGTAGAATATTGCGTTAAAGTAAACAGCAAGTTCAGTGACAGATAAACCTTTTCTCTGTGTCCAACTGGTTAACAGTTCACCCTTATAAAATACTCTTTTTAAATATATAAAAGATGCCTCTCCAAAGAAAGTGTTAGTTTATTTCAGTCATATAAAAATAAAGGTGATATTGACCGTTCGCGTGCGAAAAGCAATTGATCAATATGTACAATTGAGTGATGTGCCTATAAATATAGCTTTGCTTCCAATTAAGACTCCGACATTGCTTTGATTTTCGCCACTGGTTCCATTATTTAAACATCCAATTTCATCATAAACAATTATGGCCGTTTGATATCAGTTGTTACATAATTTTGCCGACATAAAAAGGAACGAATACGTCAAACTTCGTTCAATGATGGTATGTTTTTATCTGTTGATGACAAAAACAACTTCTAATAATCAAACAAACGTGGTCTTTTGATTTCAGCCAAAACATGATTTAATACGACCGAAGAAGATTTATTTACCTCGGACTTTTTCCTCGGTACTATTTCCTCTTGGGTTGATAAAATATTTTACCAACCTCAACAAAAGCCTATAACTGTATGAAATAAAATCGCTTTAAATATTGATTTAATGTTAGCTTATCCTGATTTAAGTCACTGTATGTTGTTTTTGTTGCATTTATTTTCTGGGCGCTAATCTGTTAAAATTCGATATTGATGAAACAGCAGAGCGGTGTATTCTAGCGTGCCCATGCATGCAGGTAAGACAACACAGCTGATCTTGTTATTCACATAGAAACAAATCCACATGTAATAATCGGTTGGCAATGGCTTGTGTGAGTACATATCAAAATACATGTAAGATACCTTCAAGTTGTCAATGCATATCAATATAGTATATAATCAAGTTGTCAATGATTGTTTAGAAAACAAAGCAATTTAGTTTGCTATCGTGTTGTCAAAGGCTGTTGTCAATACATATCAATATAGTATGCCGTCGTGTTGTCAATTGCTGTTGTCAATACCTATCAATATAGTATGCCGTCGTGTTGTCAATGGCTGATGTCAATACATATCAATATAGTATGCCGTCGTGTTGTCAATTGCTGTTGTCAATACCTATCAATATAGTCTGACGTCGGGTTGTCAATGGCTGTTGTCAATACCTATCAATATAGTATGCCGTCGTGCTGTCAATGTCTGTTGTCAATACATATCAATATATTATGTTATCGAGTTGTCAATGGCTGTTGTCAATACATAAAAATATAGTATGCCGTCGTGTTGACAATGGCTGTTGTCAATACATATAAATAAAGTATGCCCTCGTGTTGTCAATGGCTGTTGTCAATACCTATCAATATAGTCTGACGTCGGGTTGTCAATGGCTGTTGTCAATACCTATCAATATAGTATGCCGTCGTGTTGTCAAGGGCTGTTGTCAATACATATCAATATAGTATGGCGTCGTGTTGTCAATGGCTGTTGTCAATACCTATCAATATAGTCTGACGTCGGGTTGTCAATGGCTGTTGTCAATACCTATCAATATAGTATGCCGTCGTGTTGTCAATTGCTGTTGTCAATACCTATCAATATAGTATGCCGTCGAGCTGGCAATGTCTGTTGTCAATACATATCAATATTATCGTTATGTCAATGACTGTTGTCAATGCATATCAATATAGTATATAATCAAGTTGTCAATACATATCAATATATTATGTTATCGAGTTGTCAATGGCTGTTGTCAATACATAAAAATATAGTATGCCGTCGTGTTGACAATGGCTGTTGTCAATACATATCAATATAGTATGCCGTCGTGTTGACAATGGCTGTTGTCAATACGTATAAATATAGTATGCCGTCGTGTTGACAATAACTGTTGTGAATACACATATCAATATATTATGACATCGAGTTGTCAATGGCTATTGTCGATACATTTCAATATAGTATGCTATCGTGTTGTCAATGACTGTTGTCAGCAATATCAATATAGTATGCTATCATGTTGTCAATGGCTGTTGTTAATACATATCAATATAGTATGCCGTCGTGTTGACAATAACTGTTGTGAATACACTTATCAATATATTATGACATCGTGTTGTCAATGGCTATTGTCGATACATTTCAACATAGTATGCCGTCGTATTGTCGATGACTGTTATCAATATATATCAATATAGCATAAAATCAAGTTGTCAATGGTTGTTTTGAATACATAGCAATATAGTATGCAATCGAGTTGCCAATGACTGTTGTCAATGCATAACAATATAGTATGCCATCGTGTTGACAATGGCTGTTGTCAATACATATAAATAAAGTATGCCATCGTGTTGTCAATGGCTGTTGTCAATACATATCAATATAGTATGCCGTCGTGTTGTCGAAGACTGTTAACAATACATATCAATAAGGCATAAAATCAAGTTGTCAATGGTTGTTTTGAATACATATCAATATAGTATGCGATCGTGTTGTCAATGGCTGTTGTCAATACCTATCAATATAGTATGCCGGCGTGTTGTCGAAGACTGTTAACAATACATATCAATAAGACATAAAATCAAGTTGTCAATGGTTGTTTTGAATACATAGCAATATAGTATGCAATCGAGATGCCAATGACTGTTGTCAATGCATAACAATATAGTATGCCATCGTGTCGACAATGGCTGTTGTCAATACATATCAATATAGTATATAATCAAGTTGTCAATACATATCAATATAGTATGCCATCGAGTTGTTAATGACTGTTGTCAATACATAACAATTTAGTATGCGATCGTGTTGTCAATGGCTGTTGTCAAAACATATCAATATAGTATGCCGTCGTGTTGTCAATGGCTGTTGTCGATACATTTCAATGTAGTATGCCGTCGTGTTGTCGAAGACTGTTAACAATACATATCAATAAGGCATAAAATCAAGTTGTCAATGGTTGTTTTGAATACATAGCAATATAGTATGCCATCGAGTTATCAATGACTGTTGTCAATGCATAACAATATAGTATGCCGTTGTGTTGTCAATGGCTGTTGTCAATACCTATCAATATAGTATGCCGTCGTGCTGTCAATGTCTGTTGTCAATACATATCAATATATTATGTTATCGAGTTGTCAATGGCTGTTGTCAATACATATCAATATAGTATATAATCAAGTTATCAATACATATCAATATAGTTTGCCATCGAGTTGTCAAAGACTGTTGTCAATGCATAACAATATAGTATGCCGTTGTGTTGTCAATGGCTGTTGTCAATACCTATCAATATAGTATTCCGTCGTGTTGTCAATGTCTGTTGTCAATACATATCAATATATTATGTTATCGAGTTGTCAATGGCTGTTGTCAATACATATCAATATAGTATATAATCAAGTTATCAATACATATCAATATAGTTTGCCATCGAGTTGTCAAAGAATGTTGTCAATACATAACAATATAGTATGCGATCGTGTTGTCAATGGCTGTTGTCAATACATATCAATATTGTATGCCGTCGTGTTGTCAATGGCTGTTGGTAATACATATCAAAATAGTATATAATCAAGTTGTCAATACATATCAATATAGTATGCCATCGAGTTGTCAATGGCTGTTGTCAATACATATCAATATAGTAAGCCGTCGTGTTGTCAATGGCTGTTATCAACACATATCAATATAGTATATAATCAAGTTGTCAATACATATCAATATATTATGCCATCGAGTTGTCAATGACTGTTTTCAATGCATATCAATATGTTATGTAATAGAGTTGTTAGTGGCTGTTGTCAATACATATCAATTTAGTATATAATCAAGTTGTCAATTGCTGTTGTCAATCAATATCAATATAGTATGCATCGTGTTTTCAATGGCTGTTGTGAATACACATATCAATATAGTATATTATCCAGTTGTCAATGGCTGTTCTCCATACATATCGATATACTGTAGCATGTAATCAAGTTGTTAATAGTTGTTGTCAATACATATCGATACAGTATGCCGTCGAGTTGTAAATACATATATCAATATATTATGCCTTCGAGTTGCCAATGGGTGTTATCAATACATATTTATAAAGTATAATAATCGAGTTGTCACATTTATATTAAATATATAATATCGATATCTTAATGAAAATATCTTAAGTTGTAAAACCCCGACAAGGAAGCCAACCGCGCTTCCTTATAGCCTCCCTAATAAGAAACCAGAAACATTGGAAACCATCATGGCATTATCCTG